TCTTGCTACTAGATGTTGATATTACACATGACATATATAAATTAAGAGTCAACACTCTTCAAGCTAGAATACTCGACTAAAGCAGTGGAGAAAGGACTTGGGGATCATCACCATCATCAGGGATCATCTCTGAGTCCTTATTTGTTCAACTTAATCTTAAATGTTTTGACGGAACATATTCAAGGGGAAATTTTGAAATGTATGCTTTTCGCGGATGATATAGTTCTTATAGCAGAGATAATAGAAGAGGTTAATTGCAAACTTGAGTAATGGAGAAGGACATTGGAGTCAAAAGGTTTTCGTCTGAGTAGAAGTAAGACGGAATATTTATATTGTAAATTTGGTAAAGGACTATTCGATAATAATTTGGAAGTGAAATTGGGAGATTAAATTATACCTCAAGTGGAAAAGTTTAGATATTTGGGAGCCATTATTCAAAATGATGGCGAAATCAGTGGAGATATTTTACATAGAATTCAAGCTGGGTGGTTTAATTGGAGAAAAGCTAAAGGAATTATTTACGACCGTAAGGTGCCTAATAAACTTAAAGGAAAGTTTTATCGCACTGCTATCAGATCGGCAATGTTATATAGTAGTGAATGCTGGGCTCTAACGGGACAGCAAGAGCATAAAGTTAGAGTAGCAGAGATGAGAATGTTACGATGGATGTGTGGACATACACGTAAAGATAAAATTCGAAATGAGCACGTACGTGAAAAAGTGAGGGTGGCACCTATTGAGGAAAAAATGGTAGAAAATCGGTTGAGATGGTTTGGGCATGTACAAAGAAGACTAAGAGAGGCACCAGTGAGAAGAGTGGAACATATAACTTTGAGTTCGATTAAGAGAGGTAGAGGAAGGCCTAAGAGAACACTCTTAAAAGTTATTGAACGCGATCTCTTAATTAATAATATTCCTAAAAGCTTGATAAATGATAGAGCACAATGGCATCTTGCAATCCATGTAGCCGACCCCACCTAGTGGAATAAAGGCTTATTGTTGTTGTTGTTCTTGGTCTTACGGATGAGTGGGGAACAAAGAACAATTATGATCTAGTTTTGTATTGTTTTGAGATACAATTCATCCTGTTATGTGTTCTTGACATTTCTGTTGGCTGATAAAAATTATCACTAATCTCTCTTTGAGATGAAAAATAAATAAGCAATGAAATCATTAATATTGAAAGCTCTGTTTGTTGATGGCGTTGAAACCAAATACCTTGCTTTCTTCATGAATCATTGTTGTGTGCATTGCGACGATTTACCTCTATTTTTATAGAAAGTTAGTAGTTTATTAGATGTTTCTTCCCTTGGCAAGCTTTTAGATTTCTTAGTTTGAGAAGGCTGGATAGACAAAATAATGCGCATTTCTCACAATTAGAGTTGTACTTTTTGGTTGGTGAAATGGTGGCTTATCTGTTTTACTTTGCAGTATGAAACAAGCAAATCAATCATATTGCTGATTTCATGGAAATTTGCGACAATAGTTTGATATAGAACTTTATGCCTAGAGATAATACACCATGATGCTCTCAGATTCTAAAATTTGGAGCAATTAATTTTATTAGTACAGCCTGCTTACATCTGTCTTGACTCGAACTTAACGAAGTGAGTGTTGAAATGTGTTAGTGAAATATTTATGCATAGACGAGGATATGCCTCGAGTGGAAATGCGATTATAAGTTGTGTTACGTTATTGTATTATAGTTTCAAGTATGTTGATTTACTTACATTGTCTATAGCCTTCGAGTTGTGCCTATCATTTATAGCCTTCGAGCTGCGTCTGTTATTCATGGTTTTGAGCTGTGCCTGATATTCGTGGCTTTAAGTTACACCGGATCTATTACTTTACCTTATTGACCATGCGTCTATGCTTGTTCCTTATGGTCTCCGAGCTACACCGAATTGGTGATTTACCCATATGGATTGTGTGTCCATGATAAATAACTTGTGTTGTATGGATTCCCCTAAAGGCACTTTTTTTATAAGAAATGTGTTTTTTCTTCTCAAAATTCTCATTTTTGAAGAGAAATTCTTATTCTAAATCTTGGATGAGTTGATCCTAGGATTTCTATTACAAAGTCTATTTTATTACTATAATGAGCTCAAAAATGTTCCACACACTTGTTGATTATATTATTTCTGCAATTTATGTTGTGGTATTGTGTCGGTAAACATTTATCCATGTTTGTGTTTATGTATTTGAAGTGCTTTAGATAATCTATATTATTAAGGTATTATCCTCTCATCTTGAGAAAGTAAACATGAATATATTTGTATTGTAATCATTTCAGTAAGAGCCTTACTATGGAACATCATTTAATTATTCGTATGCCAGAAAGTAGGAACGTTGATCTCCTTTGTTCGCATTACAGAAGGGACCCTCTACTTGTTGGAAATTTGTATTTCTTGTTATGATAAACTTAAATTATTGTTTTGTTGTTTCTAATAGTTGCTCCAAATACCGGGCAAGATATACACCTTTTTATTTTTATTGTTTAATTGTTTTAAATAGTTTTATCTAACTCCTGAAGGAGATTTAATGAAAATCTTTCAAAAATCAATGAGAATTATAATGTCATTTGATGTTATACCATGAAGGTATAAACCCCCCCCCCCCAAATTGCAATAAGGAGTACACACACATAATGATTAGACTTATGAAGTAAGGTTACCCTTGTATTACTGGTCACACTTGGTATTGTGGGCATGATAATATTAATTTTAGTATTGTTATTTCATTGTTGTTTTGTAGTTAACAAGTTATCTTAATTTTCATATATTGAAATTGATAAATCATGTTGTGTAAATATAGAATTTAATCGTTCTAAAACATATTTAAAATGTTTAAAACTAATATGTAAGTTTATTTAAAAGGTTTATATTTAAATAAATTTTGAAATAGATTTTTAGGTTAGATTAGGTTATGTTAGATTTTAGATAGACTCAAGCTTAAGTCATAAAAAATGTCTTTATATAGGTTTAAGGCTTAACTTAGGACTTTTAACTTATCACACAATCACACAGCTTAAGGTTTATTTGGTCAAAATCTAAATTAACTATTTATTTTCACCCCTAGTGAGATGTAATGGATACTGCCTTTAAAAATTAGTTATAAAGAAAATGAGAAGGCAGGGAAAATAAATAAATCAATCTGCACATGAACAGTTAATAGAATATTCATTTCAAATTTTTTCTTGTATTCTCTCTGTTTTTTTTTTTTTTTAACTCAACAATTTAAACCCCTACGTATGTCCGAACAGGCAAACACACACCCCAGCACATGTTCAAACCAGTGACCTCATGAAGGCGAAGTGTTTTGTGCCACTAGATCCAAGAGGTCTTTGGTGTTCTTGGCAGAAGCGTTGCTCTCAACCTCTTATCTCATGTTATGTTTTCTTTTCTTCAGTTTCTCAAACCTATCTTTTCATACTCGACTTCCTCATGCCTTTGCTCTTAGCGTCTCGTCTCTTACTCTGCTCTCTTTTCTTCACGATCTCAGATAGGCTAGTTGACAAACTTTGAGAAGGTTTGGAAAGTTGTCTAGCCTAGTTGGTGAGTCTGTTTAACTGATCCAAATTTTATCCGGGATTTGGAGTTGTATAATCCGACTTTTCTCATAATGTGAACCAAACCATGGTTTTGATAAAAATCTCTAAACACCCCCATTTTCTCATTATCAATTATGTGTACCCAAACTCCGTTATATACTTTATGCTACTTGAGCTAGCTTATTAATTTCATTTTTTACTATATTCTATTTACTATGTGTCAAAATTTTCACCTGCCAAACGTATCCCTGTATTATGTGTCTCGTGAATCAAATCCTTCGATCTCCAGCTAGTGTGCACGTCTCTCATCTCTCTCATGTATTGTGTTTGTGTATGTTAAATTCAGAGTCGGATTCCCTCCATGGTCATTCTGCTGAGCGATAATGAATTTTGGATCATTCAAATTTAATTTAAAAATTTTTATTTTTTATTTGTATTTATTAATAAAAGTTATAAATTAGAGGTTCAAACTTTGAATTTAAATCTTGGTATATGTAACAATTTAATTAAGAAAAATTTATTCATTATTCTCAATACTTTTAAAAGATATTATCGCCATAGTCTATCATTATAGTTGTTAAAAAATAAGAATTATAAATAACTATAAAAAATTTTAATAAATTTTCTTGATCACCATTTAAATTAAATTTAGACTGTTTAGGTTAGTGATCAAACATATTTATTATTTTTAATAATTTTTGTTTAATACATAAAAAATGAAAAAAGATGTTGAACTTTGATGGTTCAAATTTCACTATTCCTTAACGGAACAACATTGGAGGGCCGTAAAATTCACCTCCCGCCTCCCATCTCTATCAAGCATATTAAATGGATTACTATTATATATATTTTATTTATATTACAAATATTACATTTTAATTTGTGTATATGTGTGTGTTAAATAATTATATAAATATTAAATGGATCGATGCTATATATATTTTGTTTATTAAATAGATCAAAACAAAATTAATAATATGATGAGTAACTTCATCAATATCAATATTTAAATAATTATTGTTTTCCTTTCTTTTTTAAAAATATTTAAATTATAAAACTTTTGTTTTTTTATAATTTACAGATTTGAAATTAATTTTAATTAAAATTATTCAAACATCTTCAATTTTCACATATATAAGTTTAGAAAATAACATCTAAATATAATCATGTTATAATATAATATAATTAATTATATTTAAAATCAGTTATATTAATTAATTTTTTTATAATCAATTGTCTCCCACGGATATTCAAACTGTAAACGCTTTTCCAAACCATGTTCTAGTGGTAATTGCTTCCTGGTTTTTCGCTATCATTTTTCTTCTTTTTGTCGTTGAACAATTTTTCCTAACTTTTAAAGGTTAGGAATTGTATGCAACTGGTTAAAAAAATGTTGGAGGGGGTAATGTGGGGGGTTTTTTTTTTTTTTTTTTTTTAATTCTTTTTTTAAAATGAGAATAGGACATTCTCTTTGCCTGATGGCGTGCTTCAGATTTGGAGAGGGCTTCCGGACGCGTCCATGGGATTTGTTGCACTCGGGTTCTCTCAGGTCTCAACCAGAAAGTTGGTAGTAGATGATATTCTGTCTCAGTCATAATTCTGAACAAAGTTCGCAGCATTGGAATCTCGTGATTGATAGAAATCTGGCCTCCAGCACTTCCTGATGTTCCTACAGTGAGTGCTTTCACTTTCGATATTGTTTGTTGTTTCTGGACGATACTTCCGTGTTCCGCATCCAATTTTAAGGTTCAAGTGTAGTCGATGTTTCTGTCTACGGGCGGTTTTATTTGTAAAAATTTTGCGTATCTCTGAATGGTTTTTAGGATGTAGGATATTCGCAATTTGGTTGTGCAGTGTATTGGAATTCAGTTCTGTAATCATAATGTAGCTTTTTTACTTGGGTTAGAAGTCCTATTTGATAATTTGGCTACGTTTTCTTTCCCTGATTGTATTGCAACCCAATTAACCTGTGTAAACTTAGCTGCAAGATTATCTTTCATGGTGGAATAGCGTGGATTTTTTTAGAAATAAATTGTTTAATTTTTTTTTTCTTTTACATCTATAGGGTTCAGTGGGTGAAAATCTTGTGATGTAATTGTGAAAGACGATCATGTGACTGCAGGAACCATTATCAATATTAATGGGTAGCTCTTGATAATGCTATTTTGGTGACACTGATCAGCAAGGAAATTCGTAACAGCTAATGTTGGCAGTAAAGGGAGCCAATTTCCTGTATATGAATTATTGGACTGTGTTTGGAATTTATAAGTGTCATTATACCACTGCCATTGGTTAATCTAAATTCTTTTCTGTTTCAGGATCCTCCAATAGGAGCATTGTCTCTCAGCATTAGATAGTCCTATGGCTGAGAAAATGTCTATAACCGAGTCTTTAAAGAAATTAGTAAGATGTGTTATCCTTGATTTGGATGGCACCTTGCTTAACACAGGTCAGTTGCTGCTTGCTAATTTTAATTATAACTGTAAACAAGTCGTTATATTATTCTTACATTGTATGATCAGTGCTTGGATTTGGTAGCTTCGTCCTCTTCCTATTTTTCATTTGGGGAGGGGTGTTGAAGAGGTATCCTTTCAGTTTACTGGTTCCTGTCTTCAGAAGCAATTATTGATTTGAAGTTCTTAAAACAATTTATTTCGCAGAAAGTCTCACAAGTCCTTCTATTCTCTACACTGAGGCTTAACATTAGCATACAATTCATAAGGACTTCTGTTGATTACATTTTTCTTTGCACCATTGACGTTGACATAGAATCAAGTAAATTGGTGCTTTTTTTTTTCTTGTTGGTGTTCTGTTATTTGTTAAAGAACACAAATGATTCATTATTGTGATTTGATGACAGATGGCGTCATAGGTGAAGTCTTAAAAGTTTTCCTAGGTAAGTATGGAAAGCAATGGGATGGAAGGGAAGGTCCTAAAATAGTAGGAAAGACACCATTTGAAGCTGCTTCTGCAATAGTGGAAGATTACGGTCTTCCTCAACAAGTGAATTTCTTTCTGGAATTTCACCATTTTTTTCTGATCAGTATGTAGCTATTTTTCCACTGTTTATATACATTTCATCGACCAAATATATGATACCATACAATTTGTAATTTAAATTTGTGGTGCTTGATGCTGCCAGTTAACATTGTGTTAAAAAGTTTTACTTATCCTTTAAGAACAATGTAAGGGATTGAAGTTAAAATTCTGTTGTTGCGTATGTTAAGACAGGCTTGTAAGATTAAAATGTATAGTGTTTTCTTTATCAGCTTTCATCTTGATTACTGACTTCAAAATAAAAGGACTTCACTCTGCCAGATTTTAATCCTTACCTTTCTGATGCCTCCCATGGGCAGTTCATTTATGTGAATATTTGATGTAAGTGAGGATGCCCTACTACTCCATAAATTTCTGAAATTCACTTTAAGTTCACCATATCTCATCACCTTAGAAAACTTCGTAATACCTATGGTATCAAAGTCTCTAAACAATTTTCTAAATCTTTGTTGGGCTGGAAACTTTGCTGCCATGTGTGTGTATCAGATTATTGTTGCCCATATTTTTCTCTCTTTATTAACTCTCTGCACTAGGAATAGTTTGAGATATGAGTGTAATTGGCCCCCATTATCCAGGGTTGATTTACTTTTGTACTTGCTAGCATAGAAGACAAGCGAAGTAAATGTTCGGGAACAAGCTAGAATATCTTCCTAAACTTCATTATGCATGATTCAAATAAAGCATAATTTCCTTGATAGGCAACCTAAGTTTTGTCCTGCTCTGCATGTTGATAACCTGTGAATGGTCAATTCTACCTTTGTTTTCATTAAAATTCCTTTCTTCTCTTTGGTTGTAATTTGCACTTCTTTACCTTCAGATGTAGCAGAACTCATCTAGTGGGATAAAATTTTTTGTTGTTGTTGTTAGCTTCAGATGTTCTTGCTGTGAAAATGTTACTGTTTCTTAAAACTGGAGATGGACCTTGAGCTAAAATGAAAAGATACCACTCAAAAAATATACTTGCTTTTTTGCTCTGATGTTCTTAGTCTTGAATATGCCTGGTTTATGACCTTTTCCTTCAATCATGTTAGTATTTTTTTAGAAAATAATTTGTAGCTTTCTATTAAAGGGGCTCTCAAGGACTATGCTATATCTGTCATTAACTTCTAGATGTAAGATATTGCAGTTCAACTGGTAGATCCATTTACATGGTTCATAAACTTGTTTCTCGACTATTGGGTACTTTTCTTAAGTTTCTTCTATTCTTATTTTAGGTGGTGCAATATCAAAGCACTGCCTGGTGCCAATCGGCTGATTAAACATTTGAGGAATCATGGTGTTCCAATGGCCTTGGCATCAAACTCTCCAAGGGAAAGCATAGAAGCCAAAATATCTTACCATGATGGTTGATTTGTATTTAGAAACCTTTATCTTATTATGCTCTGTTTTTTCAGTGGGTGTTCATAGTCTTTTTTTCCTTTCTTTATATGTAGGATGGAAAAATTCTTTCTCTGTTATACTTGGTGGCGATGAAGTCAGAACTGGGAAACCTTTTCCTGAAATGTGAGATACAATGAAGTCTTTTTCATACTTGTGCATTTGATTTAGGGTTATTTGTCTCTGATTATTTTCCTTATAAACTTTCAAATATTTTGCTTAATTGTGTCAGATTCCTTGAAGCTGCTAAGAGGTTAAATGTTGACCATTCCAGCTGTCTTGTCATTGAGGACTCTCTGTAAGTTGCTTTATTCTTGGTTTTTTCCTAGTACGAATTTCCACAGATGATTTCCTGTTCTTGCTTCCTCTCCTTTTCTTCAAGGTACCCTATTGATTGGAATAGAGGTCACCCCCCTTCTTTTCTTTTCTCTCTTTTGTTACTTGCACTTCCTAATAGTTTAAACTTTAAAGACAGTTGTCTATACCAAAATAATAATAACACAAAATTTAAGAAAGATGTTGATAATATAAAGGTGACCTCTCCTCTCCCTCCCGGTCCCTGGTTAAAAAAAAAAAAAAAAGAGTTTATGAATCACTCGCCCCCTAGTAGTTCTGGTTGGGATTTTGTAGCCTAGTCATCACAACTTCAAGTTGATGATCTGCTTAGGTGAGATGTTTGGCTGTCAAATAAACTCCTATTGGCTGAGGGATACTTTTGTGTTCATGGCTTGGCCAGCCAAAATGACATGACTGTCAAATAATGTTTTTTTTTTTTTTTTTAGGTTTCTGATTCCGTACTTGCATCTTGTGCATGAAAAAGTTGGGGGTAGGAGGGAAAAATGGTAACCTGGGTGCAACAAAATTTTGGGCTTGTGATTGAATTTTGAGAAACATTATATTCTTTTTGCATTACAAAATTTTTTCATAATCTCAACCAGGGAAAAATGGTCAAACCTGAATTACCATGTTCTATTATTTATATTATGATTTGCTCTTTCCCCTGATAACTCCTTGTTTATCAATCAATTATGATCATGGCTTCTTGTAACAGCAAGTGCACAAATTTCATCCAAAGAGTCCCATGATTTATGCCCCAATATTTTCTCTATATGCTTTTTCTGTACAATTGTCGGCATTTTATTTCCTGTTTCATTCATCCTTAGTGCTCATCTATTTTCCTGATTTTCTTGCCGGTTTGTCTTGAGTGGCTGTTTTCTGTGGCTCCACCTCTATAGATACATGTATGTGTTGTCTGTCGCCAAATCAATATGATAAAACGCTTCATATGATAATTGGACTAATATTTGTCTCCAAAACTTAGTCTGTCACAAAGAATTATTCCAGCACTTGTCTGTGGCATATCTTTGCTGTTAACATGACATACGAGTATTTTAACTGTTAAATTCTGATTATGTTTGGGTGAAGCCTTTCTACTGTGATCTATTATGGTTGTGTTTTGCATATTTAAGGCTTTCACTCTGGGATTATTGAAGAGAGCTTGATTATTTTTTGCAAGGTTTTCATAAAGGAATTTTCATGCTAAAGTTGTTTCTGTGGAGACTGTTGTTATTCTTCATATCTCTTTCTAAGCACGTGTATATTTGGCTACTTCAGACCTGGTGTCGCTGCAGGTAAAGCTGCTGGAATGGAAGTAATTGCTGTACCGTCACTTCCTAAACAGTCCCATCTCTACACTGCTGCAGATGAGGTGATCAATTCCCTACTTGATTTACACCTTGAAAAGTGGGGTCTGCCTCCATTCGAAGACTGTAAGCACCAAAGACCTTACATTGTCCTTTTTATATGCATTATTTTTATTTTTGCCCTGTCCTTTTTTTGGCAAAAGTACCTTTCTTATCCAGAGGTTTGACCTCCTCAGCTCCTTACAAAGTCTACATACAACCTGTATCTAGAAAAGAGTCATCATCCTCTTCTCTGGCGCCCTTCCTACCGTACTTGCCTACAACATTGGATGTTATTAGCATTCTGGAAGACACTGAAGAGTTTTGGTGCCAGTTGACACTAAACATTGGGGACGAGAAAGATCCCTCACACCCCCCCCCTCCCCAAAAAAAAAAAAAAATTGGGTATGTCATTCACATTTGAGCTAGTATTCTGAATTTTTGCAGGGGTGGAAGGTACTTTGCCAATAGATCCTTGGTGTATTGGTGGTCCTGTTATCAAGGGATTTGGTCGTGGCTCAAAGGTACTGGGGATCCCTACAGGTTTGTAAAACACTTGAAAAATTTTTGTTCTAGAAGTGTCTGTGTCTTCTTGGTGTTTCTGGATTGAAATTGAGCTATACATCTTTACTATTGTAAATGATATTATGACATAAAACTTAAAAGTGGCAAATCACAAATCGATTAAATCTAACATACTGAGAAGTTTTATGCTTGTGGCCATTCTGTTTTGTGGGTGCTTGTTGAGACCAAATCTAACCTACTGATAGGTTTTATGCTTGTGGCCATTCTGTTCTGTGGGTGCTTGGAGAGACCATGAATTTTTTTTCCCCCATTTGCCCTGTGAAGTATTTGGACTATACTATCTTGATTTTGTTTATTAACGTACTATAGTATTTGGCACACTGCTTTTCCAGCTAATTTGTCAACTGAGGGCTATTCAGATCTCCTTATGGAACATCCTGCGGGTGTTTATTTTGGTTGGGCTGGATTATCTGCTAGAGGTGTTTATAAAATGGTCATGAGCATAGGCTGGAATCCATATTTCAACAACAAGGAAAAAACTATAGTAAGTGCCTTGTGACCGACACACCACCACCTGTATCTTTACCTTTTTTCCTAAGATTTTTCTTATGATGCGTTTGTGATGTAGGAACCCTGGTTACTTCATGACTTCAATGAGGATTTCTACGGGGAAGAACTGCGGCTTGTTATTGTTGGTTATATACGTCCTGAGGTACTTTAAGTGTTCTTGTCATGCTTGTCCTAGTCATTCTTTCATGGTTTCACTGAACTTCAGGTATGATGAATGATAGGCCAATTTTCCATCCCTTGAGAGCCTGGTAGCTAAGATTCATGAAGATGGTAGAATTGCTGAAAGAGCCCTTGATCTTCCCTTGTATTCAAGTCACAAGAATGATCCGTATTTGAGAAGTACATAGCTGATATGGTGGGGATCATTCATGCCTTCACGGGATTCACGAGATTAATTCTGTTAAATCTCTGGGCCAGAATCCTTTGAGCTCTCAGATTTTATTGCCCCAGAAAGCCTGATATTTGGGATACAATATTTATTCTTATTTGGGATATAATGTTGATTTATTCTTAGTTTTAAAATTTGTTTCTTCTGCTCTCTAAACTAAATCATATCAAACTGTTGGTATGTCATGCTCATTAAATTGCAATATGATGTGTGAAACATGCATATATGCCCAGAAATAAATAAAAAATCACTTGATTTGGCTTCCATGATTTGACTTTCTTATGGGTGCTGGTTTTACCTGTTGGGATATTTTAAATCAGCTCTTGGCAAAATTGAGTGTAAGAAATAATGTGAAGGACTATTTTTTTTTTAAAAAAAAAAGAAGAATAAAAGAGAACTTCCACCCCCATGAGATAATATGGAGGTTGACCAAAGTCATAAGACTAAAAAAAAAAATCATTTACAAGCTATTTCAGCTATTCTATCGGTATGCTGTGCAAATTCCCTAGAATGCCAGCTAGAGGAAAAAGTTTATTCTTTAAAATCAATAATTAAAGGTTGAATTAGATTTTGTCTATTGTTAAACTTATTTTAATGAATTTTTATTGATTGATAAAATATCATTGCTTTGATAAAAGACGATGTAGCCCATTGTCACCACCTCTTTTCCGATAAAAGTAGTTTCAAGAAAATTTGCTTTTGAGATGTTTGACTCCAATTTTCAAAAGTAGTTTTGCAATTGGATAGCCTTTTGCAAGTATGTTGTTGGGTTCTACCAAAAAAAAATGCCTTGGAGAGAATGTTCTGACTAATTTTTGGGTACAAAGCTTGGCTCTATATTTTGTTTTGGGCACTATATTTTGTCATGGCACTAAATCTACGTTTCCAATTTAGGAGGGCTTGTTTAGGTTTATGAAAGGATTTTTGGGTTTAAAAATTAGGCCCATTTGATTTTCTTACTTGGCAAATACAAAAGGATTGTGTCAATTTAAAAATAATTAACTAACATATTGCAGGAAATGCATTATATTTTTTGATGGAGAGAGTATTTTGTTACTTCCTCCATTAAAAAATATAAAAATTTTTTTGAGGAGTTATACATTAAAAAATATAAAGCATTTTTAATCTTTTAATGTATAATTGTTATCTTTTTTAAAAAAATATCTCTGTTAAATAAATTATTTTATATTTATTTTTGGGTGAAACACCCTGTTAAAGAATGGTAAATATAAAAAAAAAATTAGTTAGTCTTAAGACAAGTAACTACTTTATTAGGTAATAAGATTCGGTTAAAAATATCTTATATTTTTTAACAAAAAGAATATGTATTATGTCTTTTAAATTTAAAGTTAAACAATTTTAAGGAAAAAACAACAAATCCAAATTTAAATTATTTAAATTTAAATTGTTTTAAAAAGGGTGCTAAAAGCAATATTCTACATTTGAAATAAGTAGAGAAACAGACACTAACCTTTCTTGGATTATCAAATTATAAGACAGCTTTATAAGTTTATTAGTTTTTTTAAAAGTATTAAATTATTTATATTGTTAAAATTTTGATTTGAAAGTTTGAACAGTGGTAAAAAAAATACCAAGGGACGCTTAGTTAACTAGTTGAAAGAGTTGGAATCAATTAGCTTATCCTTGAATTTTGAGTTCGAATCTTGATATATGCATTTGTCTTAAATAAATATGTAAAAGTCATCTTTTGAAATAATTATGAAAACATAATTGATAATAATGGTTTCACATATTGAGGTTTTAGATTAATTTGGGCATGTAGGAAGTGATAATATCTCATGCCAAGTTATCAAACTACGGAATTGCCCGGGGGGGGGGGGGTGAAGAAATATAAGTAAAGTGGGTATTTCTAGAATAGGAATATAAATAAAATCCAAGTAAAGGGGCTAAATCTAGAATTTGGATATACATTTACATGATTCAGCTTTTCGTCCCCCAAGAGACAATAATTCAATGTCTCGTACAAGAAAACAAGGTTACCAAAAAAGAAAAAAAAAACATCGTCAAGTAATTATGCTACTATGTTTGCATCTCACCAGCTTCACTCATTGAGTAAATATTTTTGACCAAAAATAAAAAATTCATTGACAATAAATTTTTCAGATTCTGCATCAGTTCTAAAGCATTTAATACAATAGTAAAAGGAAGCCACCGATGAAATTTCAAAATCACCCCACCAGAAAAAGCTTGCCACAAACAAACAAACAAACAATATATTATCCGCTCTGTAGCAAATTCAATTTTGGCGCATGCAAAAACTCCAAGTCAGCTTCAAAAATACAAAACTTTTTTATATTCCTTCTATACTAAACAATATATATTAATATCAATATACATAATAAAATCTATAATAAGATACATTATTCACGAATTATGTACAATATGAAATAATTCATTTCTCTGATTGTGTACAATGCACGCAAAAACGTGTTTGATATGAACACCAGGTATTCAGTAATTTATCGTTGGTCCACAGAAATGACAGATAATTAAGGTACGTTACTACTGGCTTTTTTTATCTCACCAACCCCTAGGGAGGATCAATGAATCTGCAAAAGCCCGTAATTAATATTGTTTCTATACACACAAACAAATCCAGGTTTTATTTTTCTCAAAAGAGAAAATAATCCAACGCCACCACCTTTCCTCACAGGGTGTATATATAACTTCTCATCTCATCTCTTCTTCCTCATCACTATTCTTTCCGTCCCTTTCATTGTGAAGTGAGAAAAATCGAAAATGAGTCGTCAACCTCAAAAGAAAATCACAAGTGAGAGTGATGAAATTGTGTATGGTCCTCCACCACCACCACCACCACCACCGCAATCATCTGTTGATTCTCAGCTTCATGGGGATCTTCTTGAGTACTTATTTTCATTCCTACCGATCAAAGATGCAGTACAGGTTGGTACTGTGTCGACCAGATTCAAGGAGGCCTGGCAAATGAATCGAAAGTTGCTGTTTGGCTCAGACTTTGCAGCAAGATTTAATCAACAAGAGCTCGTGGATTTGGTTGAACGAGTCTTCGAATTCCACAAGGCTCCAGAGATCCAAGCTTTCGTCTTGCACATTGATCCACAGGGAATAGAAGCTTTGATAGAGAAATGGCTTGGGATATGTATTCTTAAACGAATCAAAGAACTGGAACTCGAATTTTCCCAGCCTTTTCTTCTAAACTCTAATTTTCTCGACATCCGAACACTTGAAACCCTGAAACTCAACAACTGTGAAATCCAACTGCCACAATCCTTACCTGGCCTGAAATTCTTAAACATTATTGTTCTGGCAAGAATCCAACTCACTGAAAACCATCTCAAAACTTTGTTATCTAACTGTAAGCTTCTCAACACCTTAGATATATCAGAATGCCTGGGAATAAGTGTTATGGATATCTGTGCGAGGGACAATAGCAACTTAAAAACCTTAAAAATCGCTTATTGCCCTAGCCTGGAAGAGATCAACATCAATGTCCCAAGCCTGAAGTCCATATTTTATCGTGGGGCTGTGATTAGAATTCAATTTGAAAGGGCTTTACCATTGAAGGACGCATTCTTCAAATTTTATCCTTCCAGGGGATACTTGCTGTCTCACAAGGTCGATCGTCTGGTCCACGACCTCTTTTACGTCACTGTCCTCACAACCTCCAGTAATTTCATTGAGGTATATATATATATATATGATCCATCTATTTTACTTTCACATTTTTCAATTTGGTTGGGTATTTTAAATTTTGATTGTTTGTAAACAGCCATTGGCCCCGAGAGTTAGAGATGGAGAATATAGAGAAGCGTATTTTTGCTTAGCATTGCTGAAGGAGCTTCAGATAATCATGGAGGGAGGACTGTTTTGCAATCCATATGATATTGCTGTGTTTCTGAAAAGCTGTCCATGTTTGGAGACGTTGTTCATCGATGTGAGTCTTATTATATATCGCCATCAATCCATATAATATTTTATTTTATTTTTATTATTGTTAGTGGGTATGTAACTGTGTTAATAATTATTCATGTCATGATAATCACTGTGGTTGTAGCTGAATGGTTACAATTTTGAATGTGGATTGTACTGGAAACTGAATGAAAAACCTTTGCTGGACAAGTTCAAATATGGGTTCAATCGGCTGAGGTTCGTAAAGTTGATAGGATTTACGTTTGCACAGTATGAAATAGAATTGGTGAAGGTGCTGCTTCAGAAGTCTCAGAATCTGGAGGCTATGGTGTTCGTGCTGCCCAGGAACCACCGTACGAGGTTGGGTCGTGCCACAGATGCAAAATCTTATAACAAGCAATTTCGATCCTGGACTGTGTCAAAGAAAGCCAAAATGTTTCTGTACGAATCTCATAATGATCGAAGCATGTCTCCATCCCATTCAAAGTTTTAGTACTGATTGCTGATGAAGAAATGCATTCAACTGGGCTGCTTCTTGTGGGGATTTCTTCATTCCATCTTTATGCCTCAATAAGGAATGATAATATAATATAATAAATACATTAATTATATTAATGAAAGGCTTCGACTGTGTTCTTGTTCTGGTTTTGTACTGATGTTGTTATGATCAACTGTGTCGTGTGTTGAGCGTTGATGGTACTGTTCTAAATGTGTGTGTGTGTGTGTCATCTCTGTTGTGAACATGACTTGGCCTTTAATTTTCTGGAGCTATCAACAGAAAAACTAAAATTTAGCTTCAAGATCACAATTTTAAATCCGAGTGTCATCTAAAGTGCTTGTAATTTCTTGTTTATGTGTTGTGGATATTTGGATCATGGAGAAGGATATGATATGAGAGAGACGAGTGATTTACTTCTTCAAATTTTGATCACATTAATGCTTTTAAAAACTTACTCCATCCGCTTTTGAATATAAATATACAAGAGAATACCTTGTCACCCTGTGTTTCTCTATTTTTATTTATAAGCAAAACTATAAATTTTAAAAAATATTTATCATATTTTTTAAATAATCTTTCATAAAGTCAATATTTGTTTTATTAATTACAAGGATAATTTAGTTCAATTTTTTTAATTTCAGACATAATTATTACGAAGGAAAATTTCATTGAAAACCACTAGACAAAAGATAATACAAAAGAGAATATCCAAATTTCTGAAACTTCATTGCAAGTGTATAGTCCTAAATTAAAATAAAAATTCTGTAGGAAGTGACAAAATTCTATTGTAAGAGAAAAAAATTTAACAGGAAAAAAAGAACTATAAACATGTAGGATTATAAACAAGTAAAATAAGGCAATAAAAAATAATTTAAAGGGTAATTAATTAACAACATATAATAGAGACATGAGCAAGTCATGCTAATATCAAAGCAACAGTACTTGAAATTAATTCAAGTGAAAGTATTGAAATGAATAAGTAAAGTAGAACAATGAATAATAGTTTGAAGGATATTAAACCACATACAGTAGGGACACAAATAAATTGCACTAACATGAAAGCAATACTTGAAATTAATTCAAGTGAAAATATTATAATGAATAAATAAAGTATGATAATAAATAATAGTTTAAGAGAAAATGAATAACATATAGTAGGAACACAAACAAATCATGCTAGAGAATTTTAATAAGAACAATCTAGCCATTCTTTAGATAATTTCAATTTCAATTCAGTACCTTGAACTTGCAGTGCAGTTTCATAGATTCAAAGGTTTTTTTTTTTTTAATTATCTCTGGTCCAAGAATTTGCAGTAAAATTTTCCCTTATTATATAACCAATTTATATTTGAAAAGGAAGGGAGTACAATTCAAAGTACCAATTTAAATTGAAATGAGTATTACTCTCATAACTTTGGCAAGTAATTGGGATCAAATTTTAGTCTTTATATATATATATATATATATAGCAATTTAGTTTGAAGATGTCCTTAATATCCTTGGGGAAAAAAAAAAAACCTCTGTTGTTAGAGAATCTACTCGTTTGTATCGGGGAAAAAAAAAAAGAAAAGGTCTAACAATTCAAGGCGTTTTGTAAATTATAATAATTGTTGGCGTTTGTTCTATTTGAAACAAATCCCAAATCAGCACTAACACGAACACATACACACACAAAAAAGTCTATCTTGTCTTCTTCAGTAATAAGTAATAACCCCACGTTTTTCCCCCCTCATCTCTCTCTCTCTCTCTCTCTCTCTCTCTCTCTCTCTCTCTCACACACACACACACAAGTCATTCTTGTCTTCTCGACGAGTATTGATGGCTCTTTCTCTGTATCTCACACATTCACACAGGTCTATCTTGTCTTCTTGAAAATTAATGCCTCTCTCTCTCTCTCTCTCTCTCTCTCTCTCTCTCTCAAGCAGACACAAGTGTTTGTGTGTGCGTGTGTGTGTGAGAGTGAGTGAGCGATAGATGCACAAAATTCTGGCCCGACCAATCTAGACTGCCTCGAGGGATAAAGGCAATGCGCCCCTAAAAAAAAAAAAAAAAAGGTAAAGGATTTAATTAGTTATTTGGATATATTCATTTTTTTAAATCAAATCGTCTGGATGTCGAATTGGATTAGTTACTTCCTTTTCCAATGGATCGTATACATTCGACTTTTCCGATTTAATGCATATCATCATTAAAGGAGAGAAATAATTTCGTTTATTTTTATTTTAATTTTTTAATCCATTTGATTCCCATCCTTTCTAGTTCATAAGAACAGGACTTCACAATTTTGCTCATTCCACACTCAATCCATTTTAAAACACGTGCTTTAATTAGTTGATTTTTTCAGCCTTTTTTTGGGTCAATTTTGATTAAATGTATTCAAACGATGTGGAGGATAAATTTAATTTAACACACTTACCTTATATAGATATATATATATATATATATATTATAATTTAATAATAGAAAAATTATATGCAAGGAAAATCTATGATACATTTTAATTGGTTTCCATATTTTTCCAATTGGCTCAAGTTCATTTATTTAGTTAATGGGCTTTAAATTTTGTGATTATTGTTCGTACAAATTTTATATTAAATTATAAATATAAAATAAAAGCAATTCTTTTCTAATATAAGTAAAGTGTTGGCGTGAAATAGCTGAGTCACTTCAAGTGCATCGGCATGCCAAAGAAGCAGATCTTCCAGTGTGTTGCTGACAAAATAATATTATTATAAGCTAACAAAATCACATAGTTCTTGCAGCGGGGTGATGCTCTGTGTGTCGATCTTGATGATTGAATTATCTAAAGTATTTGGTTTGAGTGTGGTTTCAGCACCATAATGCTCATCATTTGATGAGCATATGAAAAACCTGAACAGTCCAAATTTTAAGATTTTATTTTTATTTTATATTTATAATGAAAAATTATAGAATTTTAATAAATCTATCTTATTATCAATCTGAATAATACAAATTTAATCTATATAATTTAATTTAATATTAATTTTTTATAATTTTATAAATTAACTATTCAGTCATATTTTGGACAGTCTGGATTTAATAATAAATATGAGGTCTTAAAATGTAAAAATTAATGTCAAAATATACTTTAAATATTAAGTATTTTGAAATATTTCATAGATTAAAAATAATAAAAATATTATAATATAAATATTTTAAGTTTTATGAAATACCTATACTAATACGTCCAAATATGTAATATTTTAATATAAAATGATATAAAACATAAAAATTAATTAATATTTATTATATGTTATATATTTTTTAAAAAATAATTTTTTATTTGAATATTCACGTTCATAACGCGCAGGCCGCCTGGCCTTTACGGCCTAATAGGCAGCTGCTTAGGTCCCATTTTGTGCAAGACGCCAAGTATGTATAAATATCATCAGTATGCAAGGTTCACAGCATCATCATTATTCATTAATCAATATGTAGCAGGTTTGTAACAAAAGATGTGTTCAAGTAGGCTTCTGTTTTGCGTTGAATTTTTTTAATACATATTAGATTAATCTATATTTTAATATTATTGATATTCAATTTAAACAGTTTTTAGAGTATGAAAACTATTCTTGATTTTTTATTTGAAAAAAAAATCATTAAAACTTTGTACAAGTGTGAGTCAACTATATTACAAAATATATTGGATGAAACAGACATATTATCAGTTGAAAGTGTAAATGTTATATTTTTTTTTTTTAAGAAAAACACACATATCGGACCCTATAGTTGTAATAAGTTTTGGTATTGGTCATTATGACAAAAACATAACATCTATTCGACAAGCACTGAAATGACAAAATGAAAGGCACATTGAAACCTGTGGTTGACGATCAATTTCAGACGAAGATCATTTTGACGAGTTCTTAGTTCATGTCAAATGGTTCTCATCTGCAAGTTACTTATAACGTTTAATTAATCCTTCTTGTTTTTCTATTTCAATATGCCGAATCAGCATGCCACCTCATCAAGGTTTTAACATTTCAATATCCTCCTTGACTCCATTAGTAATATACACCCTTCATTCAAAAATATAAAACATTTTAAACTAAATTTCATCACCTAATAAAGTAATTATTTACTTTCAAATTAACCCTATCTTTCTATATTTATTCTCATTAAACACCCTACAATAAATATAAAGTTATTCATCAATAGAGGTATTTTTGAAAAAAATAATGATTACATTTCGAAAGACTAAAAATCCCTTATATTTTTAAATATGTAACTTCTCAAAAAATATCTTATATTTTTTAATACAGGAGTATCAATGTACTTAACACTATTAACACCGCATTATTATTTGTAAAAATATAACTTTAGTTTTTTATACTTTGCTCACATTTTGCTATTGGTCTTTCTACTATTTTGGTGTTTTTGATCCCCATATTTTTATTTTTTATTATTTTAAGTCTCTTTAGGATCTCTATATTTTGTTTATAAAAGGATATAAAACAATAAAAAATAAAAATATAGGAACAAAAAACATCAAAATAAAAATATAAGGATCAATAATAAAATGCAAGTAAAGTATATGAATTTAAAGATATGTTTTTCCTTACTATTCCTTTCACCATGTAAAATGCAGAAACATTGCAAATGAAAAAGTTATAGAGCCTAAAATAATAATAAAATATATAGAAACTCATATTAAAATACATCAAACCTATATGAATAATCAGTCATGTTTTCCAAATTTCTTTTATTAAAAACATCAAGCGGTGATTTTGCTACTCAAAAAGGTTGAAGATAATATAATAATTGGAGTTATATCATCCTCGGCCTCTCTCAGTTTTACTACTATGAAGAGAACTACAAGAACATCCTTATCAAAATGCTTATATGAAAAATTGCTTCAAGGAGAAAGTGTTCCTGGAGTGCCTATATATATATATATATAACTATAATAATTTGATCAAAAAATAAATAAATTATAGAATTTAATTCAAAATTAAAAAAATTATAAAGATTTGTGGATTAATTTCTTTATATTTTGGGAAAAAAAATTTCTGCTTTATAAGTAACGCACAGGGAAACAACGTTTATTTTTATATACAAAGAAACATAATTTCAAAAGTACTAGAATTAAAAAGACTTTGAAATTTTGGAGGCAAATAAAAAATTGGGGAGGCCGCGTACCTTCAAGTTTTAAAGAAAATTACAGTTATAATATAATATTACATGCGTCGATAATATAAAGTAAATATAAATATTTTATTTCCAACTAATTAATTCAGGTTGGCTCATAAAATAATCAGAGTCAAGATTCAAAATGAAATTTCATAAATTACAAAATATAATTATTATATTTCACTAAAAACTTATTTTCCTTTTCATTTTAAAATTAAAATTTCATTCTTCATTCTAAATGCTATTTTCAGATTTAAAAATAGCGCGCAAAGCAAATTGCGCCTTCAAATCGAGTCGCGTAGCTTATAAGGCAATTCTGGTTTCCCTTCTCGCAGCAAGCAGAAATTGAATCTCTCCAGTCTCTATTGAACCCAGGAGACGATGAGCTCTATTCCAAAACGAGTTCGGATCCTGTCTCATTGATTGCAATTTCCTTTTCATTCTTTCTCGGGAAAAACTTTATTCCAGTCTCGTTATGCGGTTTGAGTTTTTGCTCTGAATACATCTCTGATAATTAATAGTACTGTATTATGTTGTATCTTAGCTTGGAACAACTAGAATTTACAGAAAAATGAGTGTTCTGGTTTTGATTCTTGTGAGTGAATTGGCCTTTGATTATGTGACTCAAGGGTTTGAGGCTTAGCAGGAAGAGGATTGCGATTCCAGACAATGTAGAAGCTTCTCCGCCCGATTCGAGTTCAATGACTCCGTTGAAGAGAATGCCTAACGACACACCCTCTCTCAACTGCGAAATGTCTCGTCTCGAAGCTCTGCCTCATCACATTCTGGTAATAGTAATGAACAAATCAAGTTCAGGTTTGATTGTGTTTTGCATTGTTGCGAGCCTGCCATGGATAGTTTTAAATTTCTTTTTGCTTTGATTCTGAAATCGCAGGTAAAGATTTTGTGTGGGGTCGATCATGAAGACTTGGAGAAGCTTTATCACGTATCCAAAACAATAAAAGAAGCAGTGAGTATCAACAACGCTGTTCGGTTCATGTTAATTGCGATTGAATTATTTAAAGCGTCTGATTGGTAACTTTTGGTTACTGCAATTTCAGGCCCTTATTGCGAAGCAATCTCATTTTGAGTTTGTCACCCCAAAGAAGAACACTTTTGCTATTTTTTCAACTCCGTTTGAGATGGAAGATGAATATTTCTTAGCACCATTGAGGAAATGTGAGTCAAGACTTAGTGGGAGGAACCTAGCTCACATAACCGTTGCCTTATTTGCTTCCCCGGCCGAAGAGAAGTGGCCCAGAAAACAGCAGTCCATTGATCAGAAAGTTTAGGGTTGTGGATCTATGTGCAGATAAATGGATAGATTGAATCTCTTGTTTTTAGATTACGTAGGAATATATTGGCGAGGATTTGAGATCTTTCGCAAATCTTCTCTGTTATTTTAGCCAGCCATATCTTCAAATCCTTCATTTGAAGATCGCGCTGCTTTTGCCTCTGCTTGTATATGTAGAGAGAGAGAGAGAGAGAGATCATGGAGATTTTGTTTGGAGGGCAATCTATTAAGAGACCCTTCTAGCCTGATAAATTTGAAAGTATATGCAGTTTCATTCTGTGTGCTCTTTGTACCTAATAGCTGATTCAACTTTCCTATTTTCTATGATTGAATTTAATTTGTCTATGTTATAGCTTTTTTCAATATCATTTTCCGCCATATATCATATTCTTTTGGAGTTGGTTTGATTGAGCAGAAGCTGTTATTTCCGTGGTCCATAAAACAGCTGTCTAATTAGTGAAACCTAATTAAAATCAAATTTAAATATAATATGTTAACAAATAAATTTTTGGAGCATATCAATATCAATCTAACCTGCATAATCTAAATCCCGAATAATGAAGGAAAAATAAACTACTTAAATTATAATCTACATTTTTTCTTCAAGTTTCTCTGTTTGATCCCTACCATAACAGAGATATCTTAATGCTCCCTCACTTTGACCATAGACCCACTTTTCCTAAGTATGAAAAATATATGCCGTTCGTGCGGTTCCATCACAGAAATATTCTTCTGTACTTGCTACTTTTGACGTAAGTTGACCCATTTTACTGCTTGGCAGCCCAAAAAAAAAAATTGACCCATTTTGCTTTACACGAAGGAAAAGAAAAGGTGAATAAAAAGACAAAAATAGGCCTAGGATTCGAACTATGGACCGTGTAAAAGCTGTACAAGAGTACTCCATAATAGCCGCCAGCCGTCTATTTAGAATTCTCCGTCAAAGCATGGTTGGGTTGGATCCACCCTGCCCATTAAAACTACCACCGGGCGGCTCGGCCCTTCAAATCTTCGTTCACCCACTTTAGCCATTCGCCATTGACTTTACACGTGTCGGAACTAAATTGCATCTCCCTGCTGTCAGGCGTGCTTTCACCGTCACGATATCTTCTCCCAGAACACATCCACGTACACGGGACGTGATCCAGAAGCTACCGACAAAGCCGACTCGGACCGACCAAAAGACCACGTCAGCTCCACTTGCCCACTACGCCCCCTCATTCCTCGCCACGTGTCCCATTACAACGGCTAGTTTTTTTTCCCTCTGTCCAATTTTTTAACCGCCAAAGCCATTGCCCATTAGGATTAACATAAACGCTTAACAGTAAAACAAACACGGCCTAGATTTTTTCTTGGAAAGTTCCCGCAGTTTCCTCACGCGTTTTTACAATTGATTAAAATTAAAAAGAAATAAACAAAATGCTGTCCCTTGTTGGCTGGAATTGAAATATAAAAGGTTCTTCTTCTTCCTTTTTGACGCAACTTGCGCAGTTAAAGAAGGCGGTTCCAGTTTCCCCTCTCGAAGCAAGCCGAAGAAGTCGAAGCTATCTCTCTTGTATCTAGCACCTCTAATCCAAAACAGGTTCGTATCCTGTCTTATTTATTGCGCGATTTTCTTTCCATTTTTTCTCCGGAAGAATAAAATCGTTTGAGGAAATTAGTTAATTGTTTCCCCAAATTGGATTTCACGGTCTCCTTACTGAGTTTGAATTTATGCTCTAGGTTTGTGCATTAAGTCTCTGATAATTAATACTCTTGTTGATTTCGTATTGCAGATTGGAACGACTAACTTTCACTCGGTGAAATTTGAGTGTTCTGCTTCTGATTCTATTTGAGTGAAATTGGCATTTGGTAAAATGGCTCTAGGGTTTGGGAGTTATACTCGATCACTTAGCAGGAAGAGGATTGTGGTTTCAACCGATGTAGAAGCTTCTCCACTCGATTCGAGTTCAGTGACCCCATTGAAGAGAATGCGTAGCGGGACATTCATTCTCAACTCTGAAAGGTCTCGTTTCGAAGCCCTGCCTCAGGACATTCTGGTGAGTACAATGAACAACTCAAGCTCGTGTTTGATTGTATATATCTAATTTATATCACGGGTCGTCTGACATTTCTCTGTTTCCTCGTTAAATCTCAGATAAGGGTTTTGTGCGGGGTAGATCATGAGGATTTGAAGCAGCTTTTCCAAGTATCTAAGACAATAAAAGAAGCAGTGAGTATCAATAACACTGTACTGTCAATGTGATTGATTTAATTGTTAATTAATGGTTCTAATTTGTAACTTATGTTTCTCGCTACTTTAGGCTCTTATTGCAAAGCAATGGCATTTTGAATATAGCACTCCGAAGAAGAAAACATTCGTTCTTCGAACTTCGATTGCGGTGGATGATGAAAATGAGATCCCTGAAATTGAAGCTCCAAATGCTCCAATGAGGAAATCTAAGTCAAGGCTAAGTGGGAGGAAGTTGTCTGACATCTCAGTTGCCTTATTTGCTTAGAGCACTGAGGTATCAGGTCAGGGAGTTCAGATTTTGTGTATGTAAATAGGTAGGTTGAATATGTTGGTTGTAGATTAAATAGTCATATATTAGAGAGGATAAGATCTCCTGGATCAGATCTTAGCTGATTTTACACTTAAAAGAAATCTTTCACAAGCCAGCCATATCTTCAAACCCTTCATTTGAAGATTGAGTTACTTTGGCTTGTCTTAATGTTTCAGTGTACAGGCAGAGAGAAAGAAAGATTGTGGGGATTTTGTTGGAGGGCAATCCAATACGAAGGCCCTTCTTGTCTGATAAATTGGGGAGTGTACGGTTGATTCTGCATGCTCTTTGTACCTAATAAACAATTCTAGTTTCCGACTTTTATGGTTGAACTTGTTCCTGGATACATTTTTTTTTTTTTGGAAGCATTTTTTCTGGATATGTCATTGAGAGCCGAAGATAGTATTTCGATGGAGTTTCATAAGAGAAATCGCTATTATTGTGCTAACAGTTCGTAATATCTATCTGCCTAATACTATAAAAAACTGAATATAAGTTGTAATTTTTTTTTTAGTTTGAGAAAAAAAAATTATAGGTTGAGAAAAATAGCTGTTATTTATTTGACCCAACTATTGCCTATCTGTCAAGTGACTTTCCAGCACTTAAATTCCTGTTAAAGTTCATTTATTTATTTACAATGGAAAAGATAAATGTGGTGCCTTGTCAATTGTGTAAGTCTATAGTCACAAAAAAATTTAAAATATATATCGTCATTGTTCTGGAATGCTCGGGATTTTCCTATGGAAGTGGTGTCATTCTTTTTTAGTCTTGCAAAAAGAAAATTGCTGTTATTTTCTTGAGACAGTACGGACATATCTCATGTATAATTATGCAAATTCTATGCGAAAAACTCGGGAAAAGATATGACGGTCAATTACCGGTACAAATGCCCCTAGTTTTAGGGTATACTGTTTGGGGATTTTGAATCGCTTCTTTGTATGATACACATTTGAGTTGACTTCCGATGTTTATGTTAATGGCTAATTTATCTTTTTTGAAATCAGAATTCTTCAAACCATTATTTATTTAATTCTTACAGTTTATAATTTTATTTTCTGACGCCAAAACAAAAATTACAAATGGGCTCCTTGGTTCAGAGAATCCAAGGCAAAGTGATCGTTTTTTGTTTTTTTCTGCGTGACATAAAAAAATAGCTTTTTGATTTTTTTTTATATAATTCTTTGTACGTACATAGGACCGGCCATTTTTGTCCTGATTCCATGGCTAATACTTGTGCATACATGGATATTAAATTTAAAAAATTTTCATGTTCCTCCTTGAAAAATTAGTGCAGCATTGTAGCAACTAGCAAGTGAGCCAAATGGTGTTTAGTATGAAAATTAGGGTTGACTTTGACTGGTTTAACCGTATTAATCTTTGAACTGGTTTGGTTAAATCTTTTTTATTAGTTTAATCATAGTTTATGTCACGCTCCAAAATTTAGAGAGTGACCGGCATAAGAGGTGAACTGTTTCACACCTCTCCATAATCCTTAAATTATAAGTTCACTCTATTTGAAAATGAAATCAAATTTATTTTAAAATTATAACACTTTTGACACTAATAATTATAACAAATTTTCAACATGTTCGTAGAAATTTTGACGGAACCTTTCCTTATAAATGTGATCTCTCAAAATTTTTACAATACATTAACGCAGTTAAAATGTCAAATAAATCAAGAGCTTAGCTCCTTTCAGTTGATAGATAGCATATATAGAAAAATAAAAATCTTAATTATAACTTATGTGGAGCACCTAACTATACTTTTTAAAAATAAAATAAAAATAAGGTACATAAATATTAATAATTACATCAAAAGAAAAATTTTAATCAATCCTCCACCTGTCTATAAGTACTTAAGGTCGGTAGTAGGATCAACGTCAACTAAGGCATCTGAGACAAAAATAATTTTTCAGTAAATAACGTTTCAACAATAAATAATTTAACATGAATAAAAAAAGTTTGAAATAACCATGTAATTTAAAGAGACAACAATTTCTATCAAAAGAAAATGTATAAACTTTAGAATAAAATGGCTCTATAAAATTTTGAATAAAATCTTGAACCATTAAACTACTATAGTAAATGATAATATCACTTAATTTTTAAGAAGTCATATAAATGAATTAAATACTTGTAAATAAATTACTAAACAAAAATTAATGGGATATAAAATCACCAAATAATTAGATTCATAATTATAGGGACTTATCAGAATAATTAACAAACGTGGACACACAATCCATGATGGTAACTAACCAAACGTGGTTTATGTCACGAAAACAAACGTGAATACTCAGTCCATGAGGGTAAGTAAACAAACGCGGTTGAAGTCACGAAACAAACATGGACATATAGCCCACGAGGGAATGCTAATCAAATGCAGCTTGAAACCACGAAACAAACATAAGTACGATGCTCACGAATAATCATCCCTTCGTTCCACGTGCGTTGGCCATCGCATGGAGTTAGCACCTCTTATAAACACCCTGTTAGCTAGGCATACCATGACGCGTCAAGGGCTAACGGAATTGCCGTTAGCAATCAGTGTTCTATATAAAGTCCCTTTTTAACCATTTTTAAACATATGAGAAAATCATCACTTTTAAGAGACAGTTCTTATTCTCAAAATCAAACTCGCATGAATACTTTTAAGCATTAAAATTTGCCAGAATCAAATTTTATATTCGGTGCTCATGCTTGTATTTTTTTAAATAAAAAAAATTTCAACGTCAAACTTGCATGAATCATTCTCTGTATCAATTCAATATTTGATAAAATAAAAATTTTATAATTAAAGATCAAACTTGACTTAATTGATCAAATAATATTTTAAATTTGATAAAGTTAATTTTTTAAAATAAAAAAATATTAATCAACAAATCTTCAGTATTAATACTATTAAAATAATTTTAAAAAAAAACATAGTATTTTAATAAAAAAAATAGTATTTTAGTAAAAAAATTGTTGATTGAAAAAAAAATCAGTTGAAACGCTGTACACTTACTTCAAATTCTCGAGAGATTAAATTTCACCGCAACTTCAATCAAACTCATTTTCCAAATACCCTTAGATCTCCATAGCACAGAGCAATGAGAAGGAGATGATTTAGATGGTTGAGCAGGGGAGAAGCAAAACTGAATGCAGCTCACAATAAAGGAAAGAAACCGGATCAATAGCACCGGTTGAAGCTCGCGACAGCACTGCCAATGGCTCCGACAACTGTGTTTCTCACCCATCCGTAACCCGAACATGAACGCTGAAGATAGAGCAGCTACCGAGGAAGACAGACAGAGATGGAGAGTGAGCAAGAAGGAGAAGAAATCACGCGAAGCATGAGAAGAAAAGGAAAGGGTAGAGCATCCCATGGCCACCAAAACGGCGATGTCACCAGACCACCCAGGAACAGGCAACGTTGCTGCTCGAAGGAGATCTTACAGCAACTATCATAGCAGACGAACAACAGCTGAGGAGACACGGTGGATAGAGGGAAGATGAGGATCGATGTTGGACAGAGGGAACAAACAGCAACCACCGGCACACCCACTTCGATATTGATGACAGCAGACAGAGGAAGATGGTGAACCAGACTTGAAGCTTCTCGAATACATGCTCTGCCTCTCCCTTGGATAAAATGCAAGACTAGTTGGAAAAGAAGAGAGAAGAAAAATATCTGATGGTTAAGTAGAGGGCACTTCTGTAATTTCATATAAGTTAAGACAAAAATAAAAGCCAACTCTTTCTCCAGGATTCAAACCCAAAACTAAAGAGGTAGCCACCAAGCAAGTTTCCACTAAGCTAGCACCACCTTCCTTATCATGTTTGCTACAAGATTAATAAAAATACATTTGAATTACCTTAAACTTTAATATCAATTAAATTCTGGGTCACTACAGGTTAACTACAATTTTGAGTATTTTTCCCTTATTTAGCGTTTCAATGATTGGTCCAATTGGTCCAATTGTAGGTAGTTTGTATTTTCTTAATTTCTTTAAGAGTAACAGATGTGGGCTTTGGTCATGTAAATTTTTTTTTTCCAAAAACAAGAAATAAAAGAAAGGAATGGAAAAATAATAATTTAGTTTTTGTAGTTTTTAAGATTAAATTATAATCAACTCAAAACTATAAAGGCACTAAATGGTTAATTTGCACACTAAATAAGGTTTTTGTTATGTCAATGGGGAGTCTAGATAAAAAAGGAATGGAAATATCTTACAGCCCACTAAAATTTCTTTCTATTTTTCTTGATATGACTATGGATGAGTATTATAAAGCTCCATTGGAAGAGGCTCTTCCAAAAGTCTTCTCCCCATTGATAGAGAATCAAATTCTATATATGGTATTTTATCAATCATAACCTTTTTTTTTTTGTTGCTTAATGTATCCACCGCTGGTAGAAGTGACTAATCCCTTCACTGTGAGGTTTTTTACAAAGAGGTAAATGGTTGATCATAGAATGCTTTTCATTCATATGAGTGAGTAATCGAACCCACAAGCATAACCCTTTTGATACCCATTAATTCTCTCAACTTGGTTTATGAATTTATGATACATTAGTGGAAATCCAATACATTTGGTTTCTTTAACAATGAGAGCAAGTGCATCCCCAGGGCCCAGGGAAGAATATGTGGACCCGCTCAAATGAGATATGGGTGGGGGCCCATTCTGGGAGGTTTCACTGTTTTTCCCCTTCAGTTTCATTTGAGATGTCTTTCTTATCAAGGGATTCATGTGTGTCATGTCTCCGAAGACAAAGAGACCAAGCTCAAGTTCAACGCTCAATTGACTCAATCCACCACCTTCAAACTCATCTTCTTTTTTCCCATCTAAAAATTGAGTCCATGGTTCACCCGTTAAAAAAGCAAATAAATGTCTTTTTCAACTTGTCATTTTAAGCCATAGAAGTTTATAATATATGTAATTTAAAGCTTCATGAATCATTATATGCATGTATCCTTCATTGAGTCCATCATTCATAAAGGAAAAAAAAATAATAAAGTAAATGTCATTTTCAAGGAGTCATTTTAACCCAACAACTCCGTAATTTGGAATTAACGTTCTAACCCCATTCCTTGGGATGCCGCCTTTGTTTGCGCTCACCACACCACACTAATAAGAAGAAACAAAATAATAAAATGACAAAACGAGTGATTTAATATTTGATTTTTGAAATAATATTAAAGAAAAAATATAATAAAAATGATACTACTAAAAAAATATTATTAATAAAAATTTTATTAAAGTGACTTATATTTTAAAACATTAAATTTTTAAAAAATGTTTTATAAATTGGGTGGAGGTAATATTTTTTCCTTTTCAATGAGCTGTTTATAGATCTAAGCACTTGAATTCAAAACCAAAATTTACGCAAAAAGATCAAATCTTTTATATACATTATGAAGATGATTGGACCCCTTGATGAATACTTATATGAAACAAAATGTTACATGGTTGGAAAGTTTAATTTTAGTTATAAATCAAAGAAGTTGCATGTTCCTTACTTTTACATATGCATTTTTTTTTTTATCAAACTCGCATTTCAAATAGTAGAATTTTTACGGTTTTAGAATTTCAAGTGGCAATTTTAGTTAAAATGCTTGCAAACTTGAAGTCTCAGTAACATAATGAAACTTGGCTAAAATCATCTTTTGAATTAAGATATGATCTCATTCTCTGTTTGTCATTCATATGTTATCTCTTTCGTTTTTGAGTAATCAGTTATCATAGTAGTAGTAAGAACTTGTGTATACTCAATGTTTGAGTCCAAAGGAGATTGGCCCTAATTAATTGTGAAAGTAGGGACTTTAGTGCCCAAATACGCGAAACAAATAATCTTGGAGACCTTGAAGATGACCTCCATGTCTAATAAATCACAAATCCTGAATAAAATTATATGACCAAACTAATCATCGCACGTATATGTGGATCGTGATAAGGTATTGGGTAAAAAATGGTACGGTGTAATGCTGTCTGATAAATCTTGATAGGGATAATATTGTTTGAATAATATCGATAACACTAAATAAAATATAAAACAACACTTATATATTTTTGGCAAACATCACTTATGAAAAATTTAAATTCGAAGGGAAGGTTGTCATTAATTAATTTTCAAGAATATAAGTCAATCCACAGCATGTGAATATTAATAACGAGCATGAAAATATGATTAACATTTATGATGATAATAACAAGCATGCATTTTTATCATCAATTTCAAGTATAATTTTAAGCGTTGTTTTTGATAGAGAGATGCATAAAGTTTGTGATTGTATTAGAAATTTGATTGTACATTATAGATTGAATCATTAATCATATAACTATTTAATATTAATGAATGTTAAACTATTTATTACATAATTTTTTCCAATATTATAATATATATATATATATATATATTATTCTTATTATTTAACATCTTACATTTTATGTTATTTTAATTTTTTTCACATTTTTTAAAAATTTTTTAATATATTATATTTGTATAACAAAAATTACCAATTATCATAAATTAATATTCTTTTTTATCATTGCATATTCAAAAGTATATTTTAAAAGCACAAGTTATCATTAATCTAAATAACTTTCAGTTTACTAAACTGAATTTTAAAAAAAATATATTTAAATATAAATTTTATTATAACAATCTACTTTTACTAAATTAATTTTTGTCAAATAAACTTTTAACAAATAAACTTTTATTAAATACAAATTGATGTCATTACACACACTAAGAAAGAGCAGCGGTAGAGACATTGGCAATTACATAAACATTGATGTCATGTCTTGAATTAAAAGTCCAAAAACAATCAAGGTGAGTTTAAAATAGATGGTATTAAATTTTCTTAAATGTTTTAATAATAAAAATGAAATACTCCAATCTTTTTTATAAGTCATTTAATGGGAATCAAGAAAACCCTAATTAAATTTGTCTAAAAATTGAATATGTTATCAATTTTATCTTTATTAAGTATATATACTTTAAAATAAAATACCCCATCATTTAATAACGTCTTTAGCCCTATAAATAAGATAAGTAGAGTAAATTAAAAGAATATTAAACATAGAGTTAAAAGAAGACATGAATGCTTTAACTCCTTTTTTCCAGATAAAATAAATTTATTAAGATAACCTTTATAGTTCTTTAACAACATGGGGTCATAGGACTAGAGCCGAAAAAACAGGTTGAACCCGCAGGCTAGCTCGTTTAACTTGCAAAATTTGACGGGTTGGGTTGAATAAATACCTAACTCGCAAAACTAGCAGGTTAAAACAGGCTAGCCTCTGGCTAAACGAATTGGCCCACAGACTAACATATTTTTTTAAAATATTTTTATTTTTAATCACATTATATCTTTTTATAAATCTATAATAATGATAATATTTCTCAAATATATAATTTATGACTCTCAAATATATTCTTTACATTTAAAATATAGTGTAAATTTTTTTTACAATTTGCAAATAAAATTTTTATTATAGTTTGTAAATTAATAATTTATTAGTTTTTATAGAAATATTTTAAATATATATTATTTATTAATCTTATAAGATCTATTAATTGAAATCATAAATATAAATTCATTAAAAAATAATATAGATTTATATTTAATTTTTTTTATTGAGAAAGATAACACATCTAAACGAGAAGATGATTGATAGTAAAAAATCTAGCAAAATAATTTTTTTTTGAATTTTATGTTTATTTTATTTATGTACAAGTTCTTTAATTGCTAATTTACTTTAAAATGTAAAATATATATATATATATATATATATTATATAAATTTTAAATTGTTAAAAAAAATTTGATAAATTTTTGCAGGCCAACCTGCGGGTTGGCTAACCATCTAGAAAATAAGTTGGGTTAGATTTTTTAATTTATTTTATCTGACGAGTTGGCCCAACCCAACTCACAAAAATGCCAACCAGCATGAGCTAACTTGTAATCCGTTTACCTAGTGCTATGTAGGACACAAAGTTTGATGAATGAACTATATTATTGATATCATTAATATTATAACTAGCTATAAATTTTTAATTTTCTGGTAAAAATAAAATTGTTTACGTTTTATTTTCATGCTTTCTCCTTTGTATCTCTTATTTCGTTGACTTTTCATTTATTAATTTTCATAAATATTTTGGCCAAATACATACAGAATCGTGAGATTCATATGCGTCTTACTGTTTTTGTGGGACCCACATAATACAGAAATGATACTTCCACATCCTTTTTCATTATAATAACATACATTATTCAATGCATGTATGCCAACTCATTTATCGCTGGAAGGCTCCTTTAATGCTGATAGATCTATATATATGTATAACTCTGTATTGTCATTGGTGTTCCAAATCTCTCCTTCTTGCTCCATATTGCCATGGATAATCCTGCTGGTGACTCCAATGAAGGTAATTCAACAAACAACAATAACACTGCTAATAATTTCACCTCAGAGCCATCTTTAGGTAACGACTTGGAAAGCCTTGTGGATATGTTTGCTTCGTTATCAAACACCATCACTCAGCATGATGATCGCCCTGATGGACATGTTAATCGCGCTCTTGATGGGTTAATAGAGGAACTGATGATCATAGGCGGCCATGATCGTGAAGATCTTGTGATTGAAGATGAGGAAGATGTTAGTGTGTTTGCGGACGAGATGATGAGGAACGAGCATGACGAAATGATGAGGAACATCATCGGAAATAGTGAAGCTGTCAGACTGGTTCCAGCAACTGAAGAATCCATTGAGGGATTGGAGAAGGTGACTGTTGAACAAAATGAAGCTGAAGGAAGCACAGAGGGAAATAAGTATGACTGTTCTATTTGTTTTGAAGATTTTTTGAACGACCCAGAAGCTGCTCGTATGCCTTGCTCTCATTTGTTTCACAAAAAATGCATCACTGATTGGCTGCGTACTCGCAATGCTTGTCCTCTCTGTCGCTTTCAAATGCCTACAGATTAATTAAAAAATGAAAAATGAAAATGAATCTATTGTCAGAATTGTAAGATTTTCTTAATGCAAATTTCAGGTTTAAGAGTTCTAGGTTCTAAATGTTGTGTCTTGTTACTGCATTATTAATAAGACATCTCAGTTAGTTGAAAATCTTGGCTTGAGTAGGAAACATGGTCAATATCACTGTGCTAATAACTATATATATGATGAAGATGGGGCTGGCCATGAACAAATTATTAAACTAACACGAATGTTATGAACTGGTTCTTGCAAATAAATCATCAATCAATAAATTGGAGAGGTTAAACATATATATATATATATATGTTGAACGAAATAAAAGAAGGGCATATGACAGAAGTACAACCACGCCATTTGTTCTGCCTACAATTCTTTCATAAAACTTGTATTACTAATAGGTTGCAGAATCACAACACTTGTTCTTTGTTCTCATTTTCGATACCTGCTGGTGATGAAGAAGAAGGGCCATGTTATGCTCCTCATATTCTAATTTTTTCCCTATTAAATCATAATCATATAATACTGCATTAAACAGGAACGGGCATAAAAGAATACAAAAGAATGTTAAAAGAGAGGCAGAAATGGAATGATCTATATATGGCATTTACAAAGTTCAAATTTAAAAGGAAAGTTGTCCCTTAATTTTTAAGAATTCAATACGTTGTATATATACATGAAAAGTAGCTGCAGCTAATGCACCATATTGTAAGAAAGGTAGAGGGTGAGTGAATACCTCCTCTCTCTTTGTAAGATGGTAAATTCATGAAAAACAGAGGGCGGGATGGACCCACAACGCACATTTTATGCACTCCTATGCCAAGAATAACAAATACAGAGAACAGTGGGATTCATATGAATCTTAGTATCTCTATGGGACCCATGTACACAGAAATGGCACTCATACCTATCTTCGTTACTTTCTATAAGTTTAGAGCAATATAGGTTCATTTTGTGCGTGTACACCAACTCATTTTCTTTAGGAAGATTCCTTTGCCAAGATCTCTCTTTGTAAATTCTAAATTTCTCATCCTATTTCATATTGAAAAGCAGTTACAAAAAATGCATTATTTTGTAAAAAAAGAAATAGAGGGTGGCTAGACAGCTCCTCTCTCTTGTAGGATGGTGCATCAATGAAGAATAAAGGGTGTGAAGAGCCCACAACACACGTTTTATACACTGTTATGCCCAGAATGCCAAATATATAGAACAGTGTGATTTATACACATCTCGATGCTTGTGTGGGGCCCACATGAACAAAAATAGCACTTGTACCTATCTTCGTTGTTTTCTTCAAGTTTATATATAGCAACATATATATGTTAATTTTGTGCATGTACACCAACTCATTTTCTTCTGGAGGACTGCTTTACCATGACCCACTCTTTTTAAGTTCCAAATCTCTCCCTCTTATCTTAAAAAGTAGTCACAACAAATGGAACATTGTGTTAAAAAGATATCATAGAGGGTGGCTAGACACCTCCTCTGTCTCATGGGATGGTGCATCCAAGAAAAATAATGGGCAGGAGGCGCCATTATATCAGTGCCTCTATATGTCTGGAACACATGTATAGAAATGACACTAATGCCTATCTTCGTTACTTTTTATAAGTTGATAGCAATGTAAACTTACTTTGTGCATGTACACTAAAACAGTTTTCCTTTGGAGGCCTAGACTCCTTTGCCAAGAACACTCTTTGTAAGCTGTCTTTTCTTAAGTGTTCCAAATCTCCTCCTGTTCCATATTGCTAGGGATCCTGAATTCTACAACGAAGCTTATTCAAACAACACATGCTGTTGTTTAATTTCTGCTGATCATTTCATCTCATCATCGTCAAGTGACCAATACTTCAGAATTGAGGTTGAATGCAAAATCCTTTGTGCTTCAAATGGTGTCAGTTTAAATGCTCTTACAGGCACCATTGAGTGTGGTGTCTCAATTGCTCAAAGGAGGATATATATATATTTATAGAGAGAGAGAACGATTTATATATACATATATATATACACATGTTTTTTTTTTTAATGTTTCTGAGAATGGTCAAGCTCGCTTGCATGGCGGCAAATAATCTTGAAATATGCAGAAAACATCGTGGATGACACCTAAGAACCACAAGATTCTGGATATGTATGTTATTTTGGCGCCAACTAGCTAGTCAACTTCATCACTAGCTATATATGATGACCATGCTATTGATGATGAACGACAATAATGAAGATTTTTTGTTTCTGCAACTGTGTCATCCATGCATTGAGGGATTGGAGAAGATGAAATGGTACATGTTGCAGGAAAGGGAAGTAAGATATGGGAAAGTTAATTTATAATTGAAATTACCCCAACTTCAATTATTTAGAGTTTAGAATGTACCTTTTAAAAATTTAGAATTTAAATTGCCTCTAGACCTATAATTAACTGGCCTTATATTTTTTTATAATATGTATCATTTTATTGGAAGCAATTATGTTCGAAACACAGTCAAGCATTAAATTTAGGCACCTCTCCTAACATGAATTCATAAGTCTTACCTTTAATTTATATACTCTCTCCATTGTATCTCCTCGTTTTTACTTGTTTTTTTAATTATTTTTGTCGAAATAAATATCATATGTTTGTTGCCCAATACCTTTTGACTTTTTGCAAGACGACTTTCATTTCACTATCAATGGCTATTTGTTAATTGTTGAATCCAAAACAAAATAATGTTGCCCCATTAACTATTTGAATTATCTTGGTGACACGAACAGTCCTTGTACTCTCTTCAACAAATGCATTGTTTGTTGTGTTGGCGATAGACAGGAGAGCAGAAGCTGCTTGAGTCGTGCCAAAAGATATTGTTTTCAAGAATTATTCCGACAGACCACGATAAACTAGCAGTTCTCCAGGATTAAACAAGTACATCCTGCACAAGTAAGGCAACAGAACAGCAGTACTAATAGGAAGAAACTTAGATAGACAAACACAGCACAATCAAGTCAGAGGAGGAAAGAAGTGACTTGAAAACTCAAGAGCCAGGCACTTTGTTCTGTTCGTGTGTCGCACCCATATTGTGATCTTCCAAGAAAATAAAATCAATAAATATAGGAGTTGCCACCAGAATTTTAATAGAATAATTTTGGAAATCTTTCAAAAAATGGTCTATAATAACTATAATAGGGCTTGGGAGTCAATTGTGCGTGGAGAAAATGTTAGACACCTCATATCACTCATCCGTGAGAACAATTACCCTAAATTGACTAAACAAAATTAATATGGCCTTAAATGAAATTTAATTACCCTTAATTAATAAAATAAAAAAGGAAATAAGAAGAAATTAATATTAAATCAAGAGAAATATTATTTATTTACACGTTAGACTTGACTTAGGATAAAACCTTAAGACATACGTATCCTTTAGAGGGATCAAAGCCCATGTAATTTCGAGGGTAACAATGCTTGTCGGTTTGTTAGTATTTTTTAGAAAAAAAATTTTCATTTAAAAAAATAGTTTGAATTGGATTGGTCTCTTTTAATTAAAAAAAAGGACTTATTTTCTTATTTGATAAAGGATTTGTTTTTTTTTAAATTAGATTGAAATTCCTGTGGAGATTCACAAGATCTCACACGGTAATTAATTTATTTTATGCTTGTGGAGATTCTAAAATTTCACATTGAATAAAAATTAGTTCCCAACCTATTTATATTTATAGAAAAAAAGGCTCTCTTTTTTTTTGAAAAAAAGGATAAAACAAATTAATTAAACATCATGATTGGTGTGCTTGCAGAGGCCCATTGCCACACACAGCATATCAATTGACTAGTTTCTTGTAAAGACTCTAAAAATCTCACACGGTATGGCTAAAAAAATGAGAAAAAGTACACAAACAAAAGTCTCAAATTATATGGTGTAGTATGCTAGAAAAGAGTTTAATAATATAAGAAAAAAAAAATCAAACCTTTAAAGCTTTATCACTTGTTACAACTTGGATGATTATTCCAATCATCTCCATCTCATAAGCAAAAGAAATAACCAATCAACATATGTGCTTGAGTGTATATGTTCGTATATGCTCATTAGAACAAAATCACACACACATATTTTCTCTTACCTACACGAGTGAAAAGCCATACTTGGGATGGAAAAAGAAGATAAAAAAAAACTGATATTGTGGTTAAAGTGATTGAGAGGCAAAAGAAGAAAGAAAACAAAGAAAAGGAAACAAGAGGGGAAATAAATAAATAAATAAAGAAAATAAAATTTAAGAACGTAATATTGAATTAAAATCAAAAAGAGAGAGGAATGGAAAGCACCCACAAATATGTACATATGGAAAGGGAGGCATGCACGTCCAGGACCCACAGAATGAAAGGAAAAAATATATATTTTATGAAATCAAATTCAAAATGAGGTGGGGAAGGAAAGAAAAAGAAAATAAAAAAAATTGAATAAGAGGAGAAATGAAATCTGACCCAAGACACCCAAGGAATGTATATCAACACACACGCACACGGGAACTTTTGAAGGGGACAAAATGAAAATTAAAAGGATCATCTAAATCATTATTCATCCTATACCCTTTAGTCTTCAAATTTTTAAAGATGATACATGTAATCCCAAAATGAGAGGGTTGGCTTTTCTTAGAATATTATAGAATAATGAGCAATTAATATTATCCTATCCAAGGCACATCTACCCCGTTCCTAACCCCATATTATGATAAGTGAAAATGATGTAATAGAACAAATGATCATTCTCTACCTTTTTGATAAACTCTCTTAAGCTCCTTTATTTGTTGCCTCTTCCTTTTGCCCCCTCCCCTTCTTCACCTTGATCTCCACCCTTTTATAGATGAGAATTAGGACTTCCATTTTTAATGGTTAAATCCCATTAAATTACAATTTGTGATTAATTTTATTTGACTTTTACTATTTTAAATTAAGGCACATTTTTGGAGATTGGATCTTTATTTCATTTCCCTAATTGAAGACTCATATTAAGGCACAAATTTTGAGTTTTTTTCATTTGATTTTTTATTTATTAATTCATTTTTTATTATTTTATTTAAAAAATGGCTTTCCAATTTTTTATTAATTCATTTATTTTTTTGTGGGGGCCCAGGAAAAATGGAGTATTCACAACATGCATTCCTATATATATGTCGAAATCCTAAACATGAACATTGGACTCATACATTGGATTAAGCACTATTAAACCTCAATTACAAGCATTTTATTTCCATTAAGCATTAAGCCGTTGGGGGGACAATATAGTGATGAAGCTTAATTAAAAAATCTGTTTAAAAATTTGCTTAAAGGCTAAAAATGATTGAGGTTCAAATTTAAATTTGAATCAGTCCAAAAACAAGGTTTTTTTTGGTAAGCTCATTTAATTAATTAATTATTTTTTTTGCAAAAATAATTTGGTAAAAAGAACCAATACCTATTTAACTCACGCACAGGGAGGCAAATGGGTTGTTTACAATTGTGATTGCCCTGTTTTATGCATGCTAGCTTACCTCTCATCCAAATTTATTTTACTAACTCATTTCACACCTTAATATTTATACATTAAGAACTCTCTTCAATTAGGCAATATGTGAATTCTTCTTTTGACACTCACACAATTACTGCAACATGTTCTGTAAGAAAGAGATAGAGGGTGGGTGGTGACACTCCTCTCTCTTACTTGCTCTGAATTAAAATATAGAGTACATATTAGTAATTAATTCATGATTTATGAAAAATATTAGTTGAAATCTTAATTTCTTAAAAATATCACATCTTTCTATTTTACCCTTATTAAGTTCACTATATAAGTGAAATAGAGTACTTAATGATAATAATAATTAAAATTTTAATATATTATTTTTTAAAAAGAATGAAAAATGAAATAGGGATATAATTAACAAAATAATTCTAAAAGTTACCCACACTCATATTTTGAGCCAAACAAAGTTTTCAGAAGACGTTTCATATTTGTGGTTTGGAAGGAGTAAAATATAGACAGCAGGAGGGGCCTACAACACATGTTTTATACGGCCATGTCAAGTAAGACGAATACCTCAAACGGTGGGATTTATGAACATCCCAGTGTCTCGGTGGGACCCATGTATAAAGAAATAACACTAATGCCTATCTTTATTACTTTCTATTAGTTTATAACATACATTGATTTGTGAATGTATGCCGACTCATTTTCTTGAAGGACTACTCCTCTACCGATCTCTCGTTATAACTCTCTTTTTCTCTCGATTAAGTGTTCAAACCTCTCCTCCCGTTCCATATTGCCATGGATCCTGTAGACCCCAATGAAGCTTATTCAACAAACACCAATGCCGCTGTTTCTACCGATGATTTGAACTCATCACCTTCAAGTGATCATCAATTCTTTAGCATTGATGTTGAATGCAAAATCTTTTCTGCTTTGAATGGTGTCCTTGTAGATGGTCTCACCGATACCATTCAGTGTGGTATCACTATTGTCCCAAAAGAGGATATAGAACGATTTATATACATGCTTTTTTCTTATTTTGATGTTCCAGAGAATGCTCAACCTCGCATGGCTGCAAAAATCTTGGCATGTACAGAAGAAATTGTGAATGAGTCGCCAAAGAATAAGAAGATTCTGGATTTGTATATTGTTCTAGCTCATATTAGCCAAATTCAAAACTATAATGATATTGGGCTTGTGGATGAATCCATAACTGATAGTGAAGATATGAGACTTGTACCCGCAAGCAAGTCATCCATCGAGGGATTGGAGAAGGTGAATGTGGATGAGCAGAAAGAAGGAAGTGCAAAAGGAAGGTGTGATTGTGCAATTTGTTTTGAAGATTTTTCAATTGATTCTGAAGCTGTTCGTATGCCTTGCTTTCATTTATTTCACAGAACATGCATCACTAGACGGCTGCATCATCGCAATACTTGTCCTCTCTGTCGATTTCAAATGCCTACAGAAAATGATGATGATCATGATGGTGATGATGATGAATGAATGAAGACAAAGCTGGCTGTTGTGAACTCTGAGAGGTGGTAAGCTGGGTTAATGAATCCTTTGTCTTTATTTTTAAGATTTTCTTAATAATCCAAATTCTATATATGTTTAGAGTTCTAGATTCTAAAATATTTTGTTACTTCTTTTTTGAGGATATCATTTGAAGATAATTGAATTTGATCTTTTCAATTACCATATTTTATCTCTTTTTATCAGTTTCCTTTCTTAATTTTGTCACCATTTATATATTATTAGAGAATTCATTTTCGTTATGAAATCATTGTGCTAAGTACAAGAATAATAATAAGAGCAAGATAAGCATATTTACGTGGAAAAGAAAACGGAGCAGAATTAATTAAAGCAATGAAGACTGACATTTTACAATGACAAATGTAGTTGGTATATCTTAAGCAGAACAAATTAACCTCGGTAAGTAAGGAATTACTTCGGTACACATCGATTAGATCAAATAGCCATAGCCAAATTGTATTGGACAGATATTATGCGCAGTGCTATGCAATGGTTAGAATAGAGAGAGAGAGAGATAAAACTTCAAACGTTTGGAACACACTTTGTGACTAGCGCGTGCTTTTAAATTTAAAGATCTTTTGCAACTAGCTTGAATGTTGTGCGGAGGGACGAAATCAACCGATAAAGTTGACTAAGAGCAAAGAAAATTTCTTAGACTGATAATAGAAATTGAAGGCAATTAAGATATATTGATTAATACTGTGGTCGAGAATTAATGGATGTATCACATTGGGCTGATGCGAATGAGACATTGGGATTAAACTCTAATACAAACTTAATCACATCTTATATCAATTGTGTGAGCTGGGTTTAGAGAAACATATGAATTGCTAAAATGAATTGGTAAAAATTTAATTTGTAAAAATGAAGTTCTTTCGTATACTAGCCTTGGAGAGTGCAATATGAGTGTTTAGTTCCATGTTAGGAGTTATCAATAAAAACAAAACTAATTAAAATTGGTGCCAATAGTAGGAACTCTTGTCAGTTATCACTTAATCATGTGATTGAGAATTTAAATCTTAATCCTTATATCACCACAATCATGGTTGGTTATATTTATAGTTTAGTCTTCAATGTAATACTAACGGATAAACAAACATACATACATACAATAAACATGGTAGTACATCATTGTAGCAATGACATTTTATTTTCGTAAAAATATTTGTTAAAAAATTGAAAGAAATAAGTATATAAACGATTAAATAAACAGTCATATTAATAAATAAAAAATAACCATAAAGTAAAAGTACTTATACTTTTATATAAATCACCCCATCTCATAAATTTTTATTTTAAATTAGAAGGCATTAGCCTTTCTTATCAATTCTTTAAAAATTCATTCGCTATTCATGTAATCATTGTGATACAATTGGTTTGCCAGTATTTTAGTTAAATTTTTTATATACATTATATGATGTAATTTTAAATTATGATTAAATTAGATTTTGAATTTTTCTATGAGAAAATTACTAATTCTATAAAAACTTAATCATAATGCTACAATTACTGCAAACAAGGTCAAGCATAAAAGAATACAATAGAAAAGGAATAAGAGACAGAAATAGAATAATATATATAACATTAAATAGAAAATAAAAATAGCTCTTATGATATTTAAATTCAAAAGGAAAGTTATCATTAATTTTCAATAATTTAATACGCTGCATGAAACTATTGAAAAGGAGTTCGGGAAGATACATTGGCAATTGCATAAGAATCGATATCATGATCTGAATTAAAATCCCCAAAAATAAACAAAAAGTTAAAAATAGATGGAATTAAAGTATCTTAAATATTTTAATTCTATAAAAATTATATACAATGAAGAAAATATGAAATAGAAAGTAAAAGAATACATCAGATAAAATATATCTATTAATGCATTGTTCAAATTAGATACAATAAAAAAAATGAGCCACAGTATTCGTACCTAATAAGAATTATACATACAAGTCCCATATAAAAATTAATTACTTGTAGATCCCAATCACTTATAAATACTGTAATTTGACATGTAAATAAGCTAAAAAAATAGTTCTTTTTTATTTAGAACCTCATTGTAGGTAGTTTTTCCTAATAAATTAGTGTGGCTTACTATAAATTTTAAAATTTTTGTCATACTCTCCCACTACTTTTTTACTTGTTTCATTTTAAAATTTTCATATATAGATATTTTTCCAAACTAAGTATAAATTATGCAAAAGATCCACATCTCAATTCCAATTGCTATTTGTTAACAATTTGATACAAAATATTTAATCTTACCCCTACTACGGATGTGGGGTGGATGGGGGCAAGCACCCTTGCCTGCCCTCATAATATGTTGCAAACTTTTTGATGATTTTTTTCGTTTCACTTGAAACAAATGAACCCCCAACACCCCCCCCTCCACAAAAGAAAAAAAGAATTTTTTCAGATTTGGCCTCCTATGAGTTAAGTTCTGTATCTACCGTCACGGCTAACCCCACCAATTATTTGAGTTATATTGGTGACACAAATAGATAAATTATTGTGCAAAGAAAAAGATAGATTAGGTGAAAAATGGACAATCTCTTTATTTCTCGTGAAAAAAATTTATCACTTAACATTGTATACTTTGAATAAACTCTGTGAATAGTAGAAGTTTTTCAATTTCACGCTAAAAGGAAATTCAAAGCTCAGCACGTTACAACAAAAAAATACTTTTGATAGAGACTTTAAGCGATGATAAAAATAGTCACCACTAAAAGCCTACTTTTGGCAGTGACCGTTGGCGACGATATTGTGTATGCATGGTGTCTACTTTGTCTGCTGAGCTCCATTTTTCACTGCCACAGAATTATTTAAATAAGATGCTCCATATTTGATGATTATTTAAAATAAGAAACAAATAAAATAGGTGAAGAATACTTGATAGTTTTTAATCGTCAAGTAAAGTTGGTTATAATAGACATCACATTGTTATTTGATCGTTAAAAACCGTCAAGTATTAACAAAAATAAGCATCAAGTATGGGGGTATTCTGTGGTAGTGTTTCCTCATTTGGTTCTTGTTCTTCAAATTACTCAAATTGTTTAATTTGTTAATGTTAAATTTGTTGGGATTATTATTAGATGAGAATTGTAAACTTCATTGTTTAATTTATGTTAATATTTGAATTATGGATGAAATTATGTATAAATTTATTAGAGTTTATTTATTTTAAATTGTAAATTTATTAGAAAGTATATTCTATTATCTTAAGATTGACTTTGTTAAAGAGACTTTAATGAAAGTTCAAACTAATCTAGTTTAAGTCAAGACAAGATTCTTTCTATTTTGATTATAAAATATCCACTTAGATTTTTAATTTAGATTTTTTATTTAGCATTTACTTTTAATTTATCACATATTCACTCACTTTCTATCTCAAAGATAATAAAGAATATTTGTTCAAAGTGACTATTAACAAAATTTATATGATTAAAATAATTTTTTATTCAAATATTTTTTAAGATAATTGAAAAATTAAAGATAAAATTTATTTTTAATAAAAGAAGGAGAAGCATTTAACTTGGGAAAGATAAAATTTTAATCATTTATTTATTAATTTTTGAGAAATATATGAAAAAAAGTAAAAGATATATATTTAACGTAAACTAATATAATACATAGTTATAAATAAATTATATACTTAATTATTTTCCTTTAAAAATAAAAAAAAATTTAAAAATTGATTAAAATGTTTATAAGAAAATTATTTAATATTTAAAAATTATTTTATTTAAGTTCATTTTTCTAACAAAAATAATATTTTATTAAAAATATAATACACAACTCATATAAATTATTTTATCACATTAATAAATGAAAATAAAATATAATATTTATGTATATATTTTTAATAATATATTAATTGATATATGTGTATATAGTTAAATAATATATATCTACATGACACAAGTTGTTAGATGATGTGGCATGATGTAGCGCACACATTGCTAGGTCACTTGGCACATGTTGTGGCATGAGGAGGTGCACATGTGGTGAGTGATGTGGTATGAGGAAGTATTGACGTGACATGAGATGTCTTGTTTATTTACTTTTTTTTATTAAAAAAATAACTTTTGATGATGACAAAAGTCATTGCTAAAATTTTTTAATAGTGACTTTTCATCGTCAAAGAGTCATCACCAAAAGTTTAGTTACTAATGATTTTTGACAGTGATAAATATAGTCGCTACTAAAAGTACACATTTAGTGGTGACAATTGTCTTATCATCATCAAAGGTAAACTTTTAGAGGTGAAATACTATTGGCGACAATAATTGTCACTACTAAAGATATACTTTTGACGGTGATTATGTTCGTTGTCACCAAGAATCATTAACAACGAGACTTTTGGTGTAACTTTTTGACAGTGAAAAATCACCGTTAAAAATCTTTAGTGGCGACTTTTTATTTTCATTGAAAAATGTTTTTTTTGGTAGTCGTAGGATCAAGGATGGTACATGGATCCACGAAGAACATAGGGTAGTTGGGGCCCACAATAGATGTTATATGTGACTACGTGAAGAAATACAAATACATTACATTAAACGGTGGAATTCATATACATTTGTGCTCCTTAATTTGTTTAACCCATGAATGTGATTCATGTGAATATATATCTTCATTACTTTCTATAAGTTCACAACAACATACATTCTATGCATGTGTACACGACAACTCATTTTTGTCTGGAAGATTCCTCTCCTTCAAGATCTTTCCTTGTAGCTTTGTCTTTTAATTTCTTTAGTATTACGTTTGACATCTCTAGCTCCTCTTGTTTCATGTGATCAATTACCATGGATCCTGAAGACTCTAATGGGCTTTTCAACAAACACCAACACCATTGTTTTCAGTTTGAATGGTGCGCTTTCGATGCTTTTACGACTACGATGAGCATGTTTTCTCAAATAGAAAAACGTGTGTGTGGTGATCTTGTATTGCTAGTTTGTTAATTACTC